GTTAGCAGGATCTAAGGGAACTATAGAGTCCCTTCACCCCAGGAGCAAGAGAGAAGGGTGACTTGTTCCCTGAGCTCTGCTGCCTTCTCCACATCCACCATGTGAATGAGAATCAGTCTCCATCGCACCAGAGCTGCATCCTGGGGAGCGTCCCTCAGGGACTCAGAAGGTGGGCTCAGGAAGGCCTCTCATCCTGAGGCGGGGATATTGAGGCTCTGAGAGGGGGAGGGTTTTGCCCCCAAGGTACACAACTGGGAAGCGGCAGGTCTAGGACTCAAACCCAGGTCTGCTGACCTTGCAACGTGCCGCACCTAGTTCAGTGCTTCCCATCTTTGCCTCATCATGTGATTCACACGTGACTCAAATTCCGAAGGCCTTCTGTTACCGAACAAAAGTTTGTGTTCCCAACACATAGTGAGGCCAAACAAACCGAAACATCGGAGTTTGAAGCAGAGAAAGGTTTATTGCAGGGCCAAGCAAGGAGAATGGGTGGCTCATGCTCAAAAGACCTGAACTTCCCGATGGTTTTCACAGAAAAGGTTTTACAGAAAAAATTTAGCGTGAGGTTACAGGGCAATGCTCCAGGAATCTTGTGCTCTGTCTGAAGCTGCCGTCCTCCACCTAGGTGGGGGCCCTAGTTCCTGCAAAAGAACTCAAAGATAAAGTTATGTATATTCCTTGAGGAGGAGCCAGGACCCTGCCCCGAGTCTGCACTACTGTTTCTTGACTGTTCCTTGTTTCTGCATTCACTCCCTTCCCTGATTAGTAACTGTTTGAACCTGTCCTTTGGAGCGCAGGGAAGGTCAAGGAGGCTGAATGAATAAGAAATGGAGGACAAAGAAAGGATTTGTACCAGGGAGGACCCCATAGGGTCCTGCTTCACTTCACTTCCTCTGGTCTTGGTTGACACCAGGAACCTATATTTGTGACAAGCTCGTTGAGTGTCTTATGATCAGAGAGTCTTAGGTAAAGGGCCAGTCTCCCCTCTGCCCTGCAGCTCACCATCCACAGATCCTTTCCCAAGTGGCAGGCACCAACTCCTCAACTGACCTCTGAGTGGGATTATTAGATTGCGCTTCTGTTCTCAGAAATGGTGGAGGTGGTGCCATCCCAGCCTTATCTCACTAGGAAACAGGTCACAGGACTTCCCTGAGCACACAAAATCAGAGGGAATAACTATCCTGTAACTACTTGGAAAACCCAAAGACTATTGTGCAAATGTTTGATGTTTTATTGACTCAGTCCTTGCTAGGTAAAACTTCATTTGTATTTCAAAAGTGTGTGTGTCACTTAGATACCAAGTAAAGTGTCTCATGATCCCTCTCAGAGGTCAGCAAATATTCTGAGTACCTGAGAGTTACCTTTCTGGGGGTATGCTTGGAACAAAGGCAAAGTTGGGGGACAGGAACCGAGGTCAGGGAGAATGAGAAGTCTGGGACTCCTTCCCATCCCACACTTTTTCAGGAGCCCAACTAGTTTAAACCTTAGTTATGCTTTGTGGGTCACCTCTTCCAGGTAGCCTTCCCTGATTGAAGCTAGTGCATTTTTGTTCTCTTATGGACACTCACAGCACATGGTACGTCCCTGTCTCAAGCCCTGATCATTTCTCCTTAGGATTGGACTCCAGTTTCCTCTCTGGGCTGCAGGTTCATTCACTCACACATTCCTGAGCCCTGCAGGAATTCAAACTTTCAAAGTTTAGGTTACTATTATGAGTCAAGATATCAGTTTAGAGCTGTTGTTTTCCAAAATTGTCTGAGAAGAATCACTTGGGACTTGTGTTAGACAGAGAGAGGCCACTGCCCAACCCCACCCCCACCCCTCTGGAAATTTTGTAGTAGGTCTGACTTGGGGCTGGGGATCTATTTTTTAACCAATCTTCCAGGACCCAGAATCTAGCTTTCCAATCTGTAAAGTGCATACAAGGCACAAAAAGCAGCACTGTGGGGGAGCTCTGCAGCATCAGGTAGTGAGGTCACGGTCAGGGAGAGCAGCAAACATCCTCTCTGTGAGCTGAGCAATGAAGGGTGAACAGGACTTTGTCAGGAAGAAGGCAGGGCCCTTGAGGCTCAAAGGACAAAGTGTTCACAGTCTGGGGACTTGTACAAGAACACAGGCAAGTGAAAGTTCTGGGAAGAGAACCAGCAGCGGCTGGCCTGTGGCTGCGGCCTGGGGGTGTGAAGGGGAGTGGCAGAGACAGGCACAAAGGACTGCAGGGGCCTGAGAGTTGTGAGCTGAACAGAAAGGAAGGTCACTGACCCCTTGCTCGGGAAGGACCGCAGGTGACCTTATCTGGACGGAGCTGCTCACAGTAGCCTGGACTCCACTGACGACAGCCTGCGTAAAGCTGTTTTTGTGGACATAAGGGCCCATGGAGCCTGAGGGCACTAGACAAGTTTCTAGAAAGCATTTTGGCAGGAGAGGGAGGGAGGTAGGGGGTAGAGGGTGCTTAAGCAAAGCTCCATTGGCAGCATTCCTTCCCATCGCCCCTTCCCCAAGAACCCAGATCCTCTCCACCAGCATTGTATTTGGGCACTCTTTTTGCCAAGCCCTGAGCTGGAGGGCCAGAAGCAAGTCAGACAGCTCTGTCCTAGTGAGCGGGCAGGGGGAAAGAGAGACACCTTCATGAATGGTTGTAACATAAGGCAGATGTTAGAACTGCCCCAAACTTTGTGCTAGGGGAAGTTAAGGGCAAGAGCAACCAATATTGCCCAAGTTGATCAGAGAGTGCTATTCGGGGGAAAAGGCAAGTGGCCTTGAAGGGTTAATATGTTTGATTGCCAAGAGTTGATGAAAGGGGAAAAAGGGTTTAAGGAACACAAGAATTTGCAAAACGTTGAGAGGCTGCACATGGCTGAAGCCCAGAATGTAGCTGGGGATGAGGCGGACAGACTGGTAGAGGGGCCAGGACACAGAGAGCCTGCGAGTCAAGTTAAGGAGCTTGGATTTGGGTGGAGGGGGCAACAGGGACCCATTGGAAGTTTTGAAGATGAGGAGTGAGGTGATCACAGCTGGGTTAGAGGATGCTATCTGACATCTGAGATGGAGGTTGGAGGTATGGAGAGACTGAGGAACGAAATAAAAGAACGGGTGGATGAGGACAGAGAAACGAAAGACTAACTTTAGGATCAATCCTGAATCAGAAAATAGAGGGTTTTGACTTCCAACATTCATATGCCCAAGAAGAGCCAATTAAGGATCTGGGAGGGTTCTGACCAGGAACTAAGAGCTGGAAGGGCAGAGGCCTACACGGTGACCTGTCGCACAAAGAAATGGACTGGCTCAGCTCCAGACAGGAGTGTTCCTGTCGGCCTGGGATTTCCCCATTCTGTTAAGTCTGTTGTGTGTTTAATTTCAATCTTTACCTCCTCTTTAGGTTGTACCACAGGAGACTAACTGCTGCGTTCTAATCTGAAATGAATTATTTATACTTATGATCACGCTGGATGCCTACCTCGTTTATTTATTTTTCGAATAATACATCTGAATAGGAACTCACACAAGACAGGGCAAACATAATTCTGACGGAAATGTCCTTCCCCGACTGCTGCCTGATTAATCATTCTGAGCTACTGTGTGGTCTTGTCATTATCCTGCGGAGCCTAAAATCTATCCCTGCATGCTATTTAGATGCCAGGTGCCTGCAACTGACAGTCAAGATTTGCTCTATCAAACCCCACCACCTGACCTTTACAATCTTATCTTCTGCTGCTATGACTTTCTCCATTAGTCCAGATTCCACTCGTTCATCCTCCAAAGCCCAATTCAAACACCTCCTACCCTATGAAGCCATTCCTGGTTCTCTCTTAAGTGGAAAGGCCCCTCATACTTCTGAATTTCCAGAGTCTTTTATATCCTTCATTGGATTCTAAGGTCCCCCAAGAGAGCTCAGGCAAGGACAATGGCACACAGTAGGTACCTCAGCAGAGCATTTGCCGAAATTAGGTAGCATGGTCTCCCACATCCCAAGAAGCAATTAATCAGGCCAGCTCAAGCAGACCACACAAAATTTTGGAATCACCATCTACAAAGTGCTCTTAGGGAGAGCCACTCACCTACAGCCATACCCTGACCAATGTTTTACTCCAGTGGACTTGCCTACTGGACTGAGCCCAAGTGAAATGCATTAACTCCACTTAGTTGACGAGCCTCGTGAAGATTGTCGCTCTCCAGGATGACCTATCGGTTTGCTTCAACCCCTCACATCTGTGTGCCTTTCACTTTACAAGTTAGAGGCAGTCAGACAATTATTCCCAGTGATTCTTACAAGGGCCAAAGAATGCATGCAAGGCAGGCGTTACTTTTCAGACATCTGGGGCTCAGGGGCCAGAGACTTGTCCAAGGTCACTCCCAGGATGGGTCAGGGCTATGACTTGATCTAGGCCTCCTAACTCCCGGTGCAGTGAAATCCAAGTCCTGTAAGTTGTTTGAGGTTGAAGGGAAACAGGGTTTAAAAGTGATTTGTACAGTCCAAAGCATACAGGTGTTCTGTGAACTGCAGTGTCAGTAGCTGACAAAATGCGACTCCGAAGGTTTGACAAAACCTAACCAAGGTTACAAAGGGGCGCTAGGCGGCGCCTTCTCAAGTCTTCTGCGCACGCGCTTGCCACCCACACCTGCCAATTCCCAAAGGTCCGCCCGCAGACAGCACTAGAGAACGCGTTGGCTGTTTGCGGCAAGGCCGGGCCACCGTACGGCACCAAGGATACGGTATTCCGGATAGTGGAGCCCCATGGCGTTAAGACAGGTGTAATGAGTGACCCTACACCTGCCCTGCCGCGGCGAACCGCTGCCAGGAGTTGGTAGGCGTCTCCTGCTGCGGGTTTAGGGCGAGGCGGCGCGGCGGCGTCTGCCTCACGTGATCGGTCTCGGCGGCGTCGAGTGCGTCACACTCCGCCTCGCGCTTTGGGGGTCGGTCAAGGTCTGCGCCTGCGCTGGCGCCGGCTCGCGGGCTCGCGGGCTCGCGAACCTGCG